AATTGGAATTAGAAAACAAGCTACATATAACACAAAACATTAATCGCATTGTAAATCGATTAACGCGTGTCAAACAAATCGATTAGATGGAACAGGGTTATCGGTCAATAATGTGAGATGCAAATTGTTTGGTAGTCGGGCGCCAAAGGCGTTATGTTCTCACAACCAAATCAATTACCAAACCAAAAGCCTGCCAAGTGTGCGAGTGAGACAAAGACAGGGGAGGGGGACAGCGAATCGGTTATGCACAGACACACTAATCAAAATTCACCGCAGAACCCAATTTTGTGCGACAGTGTAGGGAGTGGCGAATTCCATGGGTCCATTATATAGCCCACTTGGGCGCTCGCATGCAGGGCTACCTTAAATATTAAGCATGTTGCCAAATGGGAAGACACTCATACGTGCACTGAGAAAAACGGGGCTGATGAGGTAGAAATCACTTTAAGTTTTTTGATTATTATGCTAATGAACGAGGCATGTCATTCAGTCAGTTACTTCCATTTAATGCAGTGTGAAACTTAATATAAAGCCACTTAAAAGCAAGACTTATTATTTTCCAAATTAAATATTTAAGTTTTTTTTGTTTATTTATAACTAAATTCTTTGGTTTAACTTGAACTCATGTGCTTGGTAGCAAAAGTAGACTAAGAACCAAACATTTTTTCATTATATACAAAAATAGTTTTCAATAATTAAACAGATTTGTAGATAAGCAGTTTATGAATGATGAAATTTTAATAGTAAAAGCTTTATAATAATATAAACAATGCAAGCTTTAGATTAAAAAGAAAATGTGTAAAATGACAATAAAATGTAATAAGAAATATATCAATTTTAGTTTATATTTTAAACATTTTACACTTATATCCAAATGCAATATTTTTGTCAAGTGTGCTAGCTTTTTGGGGGCGTGGCTGTGGGCGGAAATGATGGTAACCGCAACATTTTAGTTGCATTTGCGACGCTCACCGCAAGAGGCAACGCCACAAGGACCAAGGACATTTACCTAAATTAAAGCTAATGAATTGCCTCTTCGCAGAGAGTACCACCTCCACCTCCTGCCCACCCCCTGCCAACCAGCCACGCCCCACCCGCTTGCGCCCACAAAAACCACACCCCCACCGCCCCCCGCAGTGCAGCCACTTTGCTGTCTGCTTTAATTTGCATTGCACTTGTGTATGTTTACATTTTTTATTTCATTCATTTTCATTCTTGTTGCGCCTTCTCGCCATCTATTTAATTTTTTCTTTTTGCCCCATTCCTCCTCGCCACTCCTCTTATTCATTTATTTTTCTACTTTTTGTGCTTTATTTTAATGAACAAGTGCATTAAATGGCCAAGGGGGAGGAAAAGGGTTGTCGGGGGGGCGGGGGACTGGGGAGCAGAAACGGACATGGCGAATGACTGAATGGCTTAGGCCTTAGACACTCACCCACACACACACACACTCTCACACACAGACACACCGATACTGGAATATGAATAGATGTGCTTAAATGTGTGCGAGCGAGAGGTTTCGAGGCGAGGAAGCGAGAGGGCGCGCACTAAAGTGAGGCCTCCAAATGAATGCCCAGCACCAAACAACATGAATGGCCCAAGAGCGTTGGACTGTGTCTTATTTTCAAGCCACCCAAATATATAAATATACCATGGTATCTACATTTTTGGCAAATAAACTTTACGAAATTAATAAATTAGTCAAACTCTTTGGAAGGTAAGCATTTAATTATTTATTTGCATTTAAGAATTGCTTTTAACCTTATAGTAGTAACTAGAAAAATGGCAAAACTATATTCTATATGAGTGAAAATCACACATAATAATATATGTAAATCAGTTTCAAATAAGTTTTCTCTGTACAGATAAAGTTGGGTTTCTTTCAATGTGACACCTCACGCCTTTCAGCTTTTAATTTAATTTAAACATATTAATCAATAACTTATTTTGGCACAACGTGATAAGTTTTCCTTTATTAGTTTAAAAATTAATGAGTAAACAATCAAGAAATAAAGCTACAAATTGTTCGCAATATTTTTTTTTTTCTTCTTAAAGCATATTTCCTATTCTCCTTTGATTATTTTGTAGTTTTAAGTAGAATATCGTTTTTGATTCAATCAAGTGAAAGTTGCTATGTTAAAATACCAAATAGCGATATTGAAATGTATATTTTGAAATAAATGAGAAAACAACTTAAGTAAAGTAAACCCCCTTTACGAGCACCCCACCAACAACACCATACTAATTACGGCACCTAAGCAAATGCAACTGGTTGCTTCGCGGAATGCACTCGAAAGACGTAGTTGCCGTATCCATGGCAGTGCAATTACCGATCCCAGGACACCAAGTCCATGTCCTCCGATTTGCCCCACTGTGCAATGAGGCGGGTGGCACGAATAATTGCCTTAAATTAGCGCTGCATTCGGGGAAGTGCTGCTAGCTGGGCGGGTGGACAGATAGAAGGACGTTGCCAGGCATCCACATCCACATCCACATCAGCATCAGCATCAGACTCAGCTTCAGATTCAGCATCAGCATCAGATTCAGAGTCAGAGTCAGCTCCAGTGGCAGTTGGCTCGTTACAAGTACTTTATGCAGTAATTGCAGTACTTGTCCCGACTGCTGCATTCAAGTGCAATTCTTTTTCGCTAATGAAAAGCGCAGCGCACAAAAATACAAAAATATATCTCATCATGCCAAATGGAATAAAGTTATCTGCTCGCCAGCAGAAGCTTCAGCTTTCACATAGAAACAGCTTAAAGACAATGAATGAATTTGATTTTCGGGCGAAAGTAGGTTCCCAAATGTATTCAGCAAAAAATATATAAATAATAATAAAAGCGAAAAGTTCTCCAAGCCTTTAACCAACTTATTTCTGGAGATGTTTATAAATTTAAAGAGCTGAATGGGGCAGTCGAATATTTATGTCATAAATATTTAGAGTTCTGCTTTCCTTCAGTAGCAAATTTTCTTGTTTATAGAATATTAAATATTAAAAAGAGCTCCCAAAAAAGCACAACTCCTTAAATATAAGAAAACATATCCATCAATTTTCAAGACACATTGATCATTTAGTTTCCCAAGTTTCGCCAGCAAAGTGTTATCCACACTTTGCGAAGTAATATTTTGAAATGTTAAGCATTTTTTGCCATTTTTCGCCTACCTCTGGCTGAGATTTCATTTCCAGTGGTTTAGGGCGTTGGGCATTCAACAACAAGGGGGTCTGCACAATTCCCGCTCAAATTTATGTGCCATGCCCTCCAGAAAGGCAGCAGCAAATGCACAAGGGTGAGAGGAAGATGCAACAAGGACGCGCACAGTGGGGGCGAAAAAATTGTAAACACTTATTTACTGTCCATTTCCGCTGGCTTTTGATGTGCCACTGGTATTTTGTGCTGCTCGGCTTACAGCTGGAAAAGCTGGAAAATGCATTAGGCAACATTTCCATTTGTATTACCATTTGTATTTGTATTTGCAGTCATTTTTCCTTGTGCCCGGGTGCCGAGTGCTTATTTATTCAGCTTGAGCTTTGTTTGCTGGTTTTTCACTTGCATTCCGCAGGGAGGTGCCACTGAGCCACGCCCACCGAACAACCGACCACCGCCCACCGCCCAACCATCCATATCCACCTTCCCTCACGATTCACCTGGCCAAATCAATTCCGTTACCCAACACACTCCAAACTCCAAGCCGTTTCTTTATATCGAAGAAGGAGTCGAAGGTGCAACATCTGGAGGCACAAAATGAAATGATACACGAGAACATTGACTTAAATACATTCCCTCAAAAATCATATCCTGTATATCTTGTATCTTGTATATCTTGAAAGAGGTTTCATAATAATTAGTTCAACAGCTTACTAAGATTTTACTACTATTTTTGAGAGGCACAATACATCGAAATGCCTAGAACAAAATTCCGCATTGAAAAACCACATGGTTGGCTCTTTAATTTTTCAAGCTTAGTTATTTTTTTTTTTTCACACAATTTCTTATACTTTTAACTCCAGAAACAGCAATAGAATAAACATAACTATGCGATTTTTGTACAATCCAAATATTAGCCCGACTTAATAAGTCTACATCAAACCATAACGCTGATCAAGAATATATAATTTTTGGCCAAATACTCACCCCGGAAGGTATATAAAAAATTTTCTAGCAAAAGAATAACAACAAAAAATGTTATTTGACAAACCATTCACAAGGTAAACAAAATTTCGCCTCTTATTTATTCATAATTAAACATATTTTTATTTACAATCAAACTGAAAAAAAATCAAGCAAGTTCATGTTTAAAAAGTTTTATTTAAAAAAAACTATTAGTTTAGTTAAGCAAACTGTGACCACTAAGCTGAAACAAATTTATGTGATGCGGTTTTTTATTAAAGTCTTTGGTATTTTCAATGGTTAAAATGTGTAATATATATATTTCACAAATTATTTGAATCATTTTCGCTCAAACTTTATTAAATTTAATAAAAAATGTCCAAGGACATTAAAAATGCTATTGACTTTTAATAATTTAGTAGCCTTTTAGGTGGCCCATAGAAAAAAGCTCATTGTGAATAATGTGCTTGGCGCATTTTCATTAAATGAGGAAAAGTAGCATGTTCTTTTTTTTTTAATATATTGATTCCATTGTTTTTTTTAGCTTGAAAGGGAATTATGGCCAACGAACAATAATATATTTATGTTCTCTGTTGACTTTACTAAACGAAGTGAAAGTTTCAGGGACCAGTGGATTTATTTTTCATGATTCTCTAACTTGCGGACCATGGAAAATATTTGATTTAATAAAAGCCTTGTTTTTGGGTATTTGTTTCAGCATTTTCCGCCCAGTCATCGTCAATCAATCAATTTGCCGCTGTCATAACAACTGTGCATCAGCAGAAAAGTTAGACCGCCGTTCCCCTAATTTCCCCGAAACGAAAGGCTCGAGCTGCGGTTTCTGCGGTTTAGTTTTTGGGGTTACGGTTGGGGTTACATCTTGGCACTCACCCGAGAAACTGGCACGTGTTTTTTATTTGGAGGGCTGCACTTTCTGTTTCGGATTTTTCTCACACACACATTGAACGCCACCAAAATAAAGCCAAAAAGTGCGCTTCTCCCGCACAAAAACTCTCAAAAAATAAATCAACACTCGCGTGGGGTCGGGATCACAAAAACTGAATAAAATATTTGTATTTTGAAATCAAATATTTGCATACGTTAGGTTTTTTTTTTTTTTTTATTTAAATTTCAGTGTTTTGCAATGAGTTTTGGAAATTGTTGGTTTGTTGGCACTCGTAAAATCTCGACAATGTCTGGCGGGCGAAATTCGAGCGTCGCCTTTCTGCTGGACCGCAGCAGTTGGAAAACGCGCAAAGACTGATTTTGCCGTCAGCTGCCGGCAACTGCATCCCGCTTTCGGCTCGGCTTTTCCCCGACCTCGGCGACTTTCCCCGGCGAAGCGGTACGAGCGGACCCGAGCTTCCGCCGACCATCTCAGCAGCATCCACGAAGTGGCTTGTTGCCGCAACATGTCGGCGGTATTCGTTGTCGTTCTCGTTCTCGTTGTCATCGGGCGTTCTTCGTCGTTCTTGCCTCACATTTTTTTTGTTTTTGTTGCCGCCGCCGCGAGGAAAATTCCCGCCGCGGGGGCAGCCGCTTTTCCTTTTTTCCACAGCGTGCTATTTTTGTTAACGCCGCCAATGCCGCTGGCTCACGTGTGCGTTAGGTCAGTGACGCTTCGCACGGCATCGTCTAGATGTTCAATTTATTTTCACACTGCAGATGCACTGGGGGAAAAGTGAAGGAAGCATAATTGACAGCTGCAAACACTGCATTTGAACAGAAAGACAAATATATGTTTATATTATATTATATTATAGAACATAAGCATTAATACTTAAAAAATCAAATAAATCATGTGATTTTCTTAATCAGAACACCTTTTATTGTTAAATACAGATATAATAAGTCAATAACCTAAAAATAATAATAAAAAATAAAGATAAAAATAAATAAAAAACAAAAGGTTTACAGTTCAAGTTTCTCAATTAATCGTCAGTATATTTAGGAGTTCTTTTAGGAGTGAGAAAAAAAATGTTTAAGTGCCCACATAGACACGAATAAATAAAATAGCTAACAATATAGCTCGATTACAAACCATTTAAACAAAAAATCTATTTTAATACATTCTGGAGTTCTATTAATAAATACTAATGTTTTTTTTTCAGTGTCCTCTTCTATTTGTTTAACAGTTTCCCTTTGCCTTTTCCCATTTATGTTTTTAGCTTGCGGTTTGCATTTATTGCTAACAGATGACACTGCTTGTCCGACGAGGGGGATTTTCAATATTTCATGGACTTTATTCCCTGGCAGGCGACGAAAAAATTAATAAATGCAAGAAGCGTTAAGCATCGTTAATAACAAAAAATACATTCAGAAAAACACAGGTGTGCAAACATAATATCTACGACAAATTTAAAGTTTCGCTGTCCACTATATTCAAGACTATTTCTAGTTAAATAATTTATAGCATAAAAAAGATGAATAATCATTAATATGAATATGCTAGTTTAAAAAAAATAGTTGTGCGAACATAATATCTTCGACAACTCTAAAGTAGAGGGTACATTGTAAACTTATTTAACTTTCGCTTTAAACTATTTCCAAGACTATTTCTAATTACTAGCTAATATATTGCTATATTCAGTTTGAATAATTTAAAGCATAAAATCGATAGAATAATCATTAATATAAAGATGCTAGTTAAAAATAATTTAAAGTAAAAGCAAGTCACTTTTAAATCATGATGTGGCGAAATAAAAACCTTGATGGATGATATAATAACGTGATCAACATTTAAACTTACTTAACTAAATATTAAATAACTAACTTTCTTTTCATCAAATCCATTGAATATAAACACAATCTATGGTATTTCTTTTTGTTTTAGGATTTTCGTTGTGTATTGAAATTATCACATAATTAGTTCATTTATCGATGCCAAAACTTGCCCACTGACATTGGGCGCTTTGTTTGGCTTTGTTCCAAAACTCAAGCACAAAAGTCCCAAAAGTGGTTAGCCAGGAAAAGGAGTGCCTGAGGGGGAGGGTGCACTGTACCACAGTGAGCTCACTAAGCACACACACACACAAAAGATAAATCCCTGCTCTGCTAACCAAACTTAATTATGTCGAGCATTAAAAATGCAACTGTCAAACCGAGGCGACATTAGGAGGTAGAGCTCCTTCCTCGTCTCCTCGTCTCCCCTTCTTCCGCCCTCTCCATTTTGCAGCCCCCCTTTGATCCCTACTCTTTGGCCTCTTAAGGATTTTCACTGGGTGCGTGTGTGTGAGTCGGCAACTTCCTTTATTCTCAGTGCACAATGAACGACGCAGCAGAAGACCACAGACGGCTTCCGTTCCCAGGTCACTCATCCGCCCTGTTGGCCACATTTTCCCCCGACCAACCCAGCCTCAGCTCCAGCCCCATTTCCCCAACCACTTTTCCACGTTTTCCCCCCTTCAAACCGAAAAACATTCGGGTAACTGGGTCACAAGGATAGCCATTAATTTATAATAATTTCAACTAAGATTTCACAATTTCTTTTGCAGCTGCCCCCACTGTTTTGCCTTAACAATTTTCCACACATTTTCCATTCATCATTTGCTGCACTCTTCTCGCCCGCCTTTACCACTTTTCCCTCATTTTCCCACTCCTTTTTACCCGCAATGCCACTGTCAGCGCCCGCAGAAGCAAAGTCAATTTCGCGCACTTTGCATGCCGCCGCCCACCACCTAGATTTTCCAACCCCGTGGAACTGCTGGAGTTTTTGGGAGGCAGTGCACCCCCAAGTCCAATCCCCCACCCCCTCTTTGCCCACAAGCCAGCATCAAATTTACAAGCGCAATGCATCAATCACGGGAATAGTTCGGTGGAAAAGGGGTTGGGTAACAGAGGAGTTCACAAAAAAGAAAAGGGGGTGGTCGAGAAAAAATACAAAATATATATGCTGGGACAGGCCAAACTACTGCGCTTTTCGCGGCTCAACGCAAAGGAGAACTCGAAGAAAAATAAAAAGTAATGTTGGCCAATTTGACGTTAAGATGGAATTTGTGAAAAATTCATCAAATTGACTGCGGCGCATTTTCTCATTGAAAACTGCGAACAGGAAAAAATACTAAGCCCCACCACCATCTGCCACTCCCACCCACACCCACATCCCCTCCCCCTAAGTGACCATGGCCTGGGATAATCCAGTTAGCCGGCACTTTCGCATAATGCCCAGAAAATTCCAAGTGAGTGTCTGCACACAAAAAAAAAAATGAACAGCACGCCAGAGGGATAATTTCCCGGAAAACAGATTCCGCTGGGTGTTGCAGTGAAATTCAGCGAGAGAAATTCCCCCGCTGAATGTTTGTGGAGTTTAAACTTAGGGCTCAACAAATAACAAGTTGTAGGATGTAAAAAGCTTAGATTTATATTTACCATTAAGAAAAAAAAGAACAAAATTGTCAAAAGTGACAAAAAATATAAATAGAATTATTCATTAGCTTTATAAAAATGTATTTTCTGCAAAGCATTAGCAAATTTGCTACAAATTAAAGAGCAAAGCTTAACCCCATTGCAAATATAACTCATTGATCAAAAATAGTTTAACCTAATATGAAACTTATAAGATCTAGTCAAAAATCTAAATTATTATTGGGTTACTCTATATTTTATTTAAGTTTTTTAAATATAAAATTAGTAACTACCATTTTTCCAAGTAAATTTACATAAATGGTTAATTCGATCATAAAATTTAGATAAATAGAATAATAATGGTATATGTCGATAAATCCTGGGAGACATTCTTTATTTTAATAAATAATAATCAAGCTTTTTTATTTATTTATGATAATAGAACTAAGAAACATTTCATTTTAAATATATATTTGAAGATGTTGCCAACGAGATGTTGCTTAACTTGCAGCCGGAGAGGAAAATCCGCTGACAAGCCGAAGGAAAATGAGGGAATTTCCCAAACTCCGCTGACAAGTGCCACAGATGCTGTTGCTGCCTGTTGTTGTCATTAACCAAGTGACTTATTGACTTACTTATGAACCTGACCTCACACACTGCCGCGCCAACAATTTCCTTTGGTCGGGAAATAGAAAAGCTCTGGGGGCGGCGGTGGGCGTGGGCTGGCCGAGCAACGGAAAACTCGCCGAGACACTGACACTTGCCATAAACTAAGCCAATTGCGTTTTCATTGCCTCCGCCTTTGTTGATTTTTCTTCCTTGTTGTGCTGCTCGTAGGGAAATTGTTTTTTCTGCACAAATTTCTACCCAATAAATTAAGTGTGTTAAATATTTATTTTTAATTGCATACAAGATGGTTTATTAAATATTACTTAACAGTTTAAAGATGATGGATGGAGTTTTAAAGACGGAAACTATTGTATAAAATGTAATGACATGTGTATACCCCTTAATCGTGTAGAAAAGGGGTATTTTTTATCTGTAAAAGGTTCCAAATAGAGAAAGGGATGTGGTTTTAACCATATAAAGTGTATATATCGTTGTTCAACAATAAAAGTCCATAAAAGTCGACTATAAAAACAAGACAGTTGGGATCTAAATTACGCAGAATTTTGCGATGCCAGTTCGGCACAAATATTTTTAATGCAATCGAAATGATTCAACCTTATTAAATTTGATTTGATGTACTTAGTATCGTAACGCTAAGAGTATAACTTATACTTTTACAATAATGCCTCAGTTACACTAGATGAAGATACAAAATGAGTGCTTACATGTTTTAAGTAACTTTTTATAATATTGGTGAATTTATAAGATCGATCAAGACATTTTTATTTTAATTCTTTTATTTTCTTTCTTACACATATATATGTAAAAACGTATCCAAAGTTACTCGTTCCCCATTACTGAATTGCTCGGGGCTATTTGATGGTTAGTCAACCATAGTTCGGCTTATTCACCGGTTTAGATTCAAGTTGAGCTGGCAAAAGACTGCATACTTCACGGCGCTGTCGAGACGAAATAAAACGAGATGTAGATGTCTCCGTCTTTTTTGCGCCCTTGCAACTCCAATGCGCCATTGCCAGATCTCCGGCTCCCCTCTCTTTCTAAGCCCGCTGTAGCCGTCTCTTTCTGCGTGTGGTGCCAACAGTTTGTGGCTTTGTTTTGACTTTTATACTTAGTTTGTGTTTACTGCTGTGTTCGTTATATTTATTTGCTGGTGTTGCCACAAGCGGTACTTAAGTGTGTTTACATTTGTGCGGGAGAGCGTGTGCTGGCCACACTTTAACCAGATTATTAATGCTTGTCTAGCTGCCTCAAATTAATCAAGTTGACCAT